TCCAATCATGCGCATCATGCGCATCATGCGGCATGATGCGCATAACATGGCCAAAATGCGCATTTTGCCCATCTCTAGTTTTATCTAACTCGGAAAATACTTTTCACTCCTAAATAGGACATGCTATAAACCGGTTTGAAGCGAGTATTTACGTGTCTTAATAGCAGGTATAAGTCTGCATACATATCACGAGCCAGATAAACAACTCTTCAGATAACCATACACTCCGTTCCTGGTACGTACGTACGTACAATGGCCTCCGAAAGTATAAAACGGTTACACAAAAACATATCATAAATTCATAATTTACAGTGCAATCGCCTGACTTAAATCCAATAGAAAATGTGTGGAAATATTAAAGGACAACATTCAACAACGAAGGCCACCTCCAAACACTTACGAAGCCTTGAAGATGGCACTTTTAGAAGAATGGGAAAACATAGATTCATCAATCTTTATTAATTTAATAATATATTATTAAATTTGCTTATTTACAAAATTTATGTTATGTTTTTTTGTGTAACCGTTTTATACTTTCGGAGGCCACTGTCCGTACGTACGTATTATCAGAGAAATTTCTATAACAATCATAATTGATTACCTATTGTAATTGTGTTTATGTTTCTTATAAAGGAAGGTCGTACGGTAACATGTATTTAAAGGGATTTTGCTACGTACTACGTACGTACGTACGTACATGCGCACATACCTCAAACTTTCCCTCTCAAAATGATTGAGCAGCTTCCGAATGAATGTCTTTATGAAATATTTAGTTACTTTAGTGACCTTACGAAGCAACATAAAAGCTTATTTTCATGCCTTCTTGTAAATCGGAAATGGTGTAGAATTGCTGTACCGATTTTGTGGTGCAAACCGCTTGATTATTTCGTTGATAAAAGGATTGTAATGACCTATTTTTTATCATTAAACATTGAGGATCAAAGACAACTTATCCCATTAAACATAAAGCTTCCGAAATTTTCAATGCCATTATTTCAATATATATCTTATACTACTTCTATTGATGGCTATAATCTATTGCTTAGTATCGAAAGATGGCTTAGTTGTGATCCTTTCTTATATTCTCCATTATATAATCCATTTAATCCATATCCTTATCACTCACCTCATTCATATAATTTAGTTCCCTCTGTCAAACTTTTGTTGATCAAAATGTTTTTGCGAAAATGTAATAGATTAAAAAATTTAAAAATTTATGGAACTATTGATAGCGAGACAATAGAAATTCTTTGTACAACCACGAATTTAACCTCTTTGGACTTTAATAATAACCTACTTGCTTATGAAGATATAAAAAAATTAGTAGAAGCTCTTTGTAAAAATGCTATTCTGACTTCATTGAATCTTATTAGTAGTCAACTTGGTCCTGAAGGTGGAAAAACAATAGCAAAGATTCTTTGCAATAGTTGCATTTTGACATCTTTGAACCTCACTTGCAATCAACTTGGTGTTGAAGGTGGAAAGGCGTTAGCAAAGTTTCTTTATAATAATTGCACTTTAATATCTTTGAATCTTTCTAGTAATGAGCTTGGTTCTGAAGGGGTGAAAGAATTATCAAGGGCTCTTTACAGGAATAATACCTTGACTTCCTTAGATCTTAACCACAACCAATTTGATCATGAAGTCGCAAAAACACTGACTGAGGTTCTTCGCGTTAATAATACCTTAACTTCTTTGAATCTTAGTAATAACAAACTTGGTCCTGAGGGAGGAAAAGCGCTCGCAGAAGCCCTTTGCATTAATAGTACTCTGACGTTTTTAAATCTTAGCAATAATAGTCTTAATTTTGAAGGAGGAAAGGCGTTATTAGATTCTCTTAACAAAAATCCCTCTTTATTGGTTTTAAATCTCACTGGAAATCAATTGGCCGCTAAAAGTGGAAACCAATTTACATATAACATTCTCTATCATCCTTGTTATGAACTTTGCTGTAACTATAATTGTTTAATTGAAGAACTAGCAAAGGCTGGTAACAGAATTATTAATGAAACCTATTGTTCTCAATTTGACTACTATCAACTTTATGAATACCCCGACTTTATCGACTATACAGTCGACTCTAGATATAACGAACCTTTCGATAACGGATTCTGGATATAATGAACTCAAAAATTTTGAAATTTCATAATAGTTCGGTACAAAAAGTGGTGTTGGTTCTTAAGAAAACATTGTAATTTCCATATAACGAACTTATTTTTCTTCCAGAATCTTCAGTACGTTATAGAAAGAGGTGACAGTAGTTGGTTTTAGAATTGATTTTGCAAATTAATATGACAACAACACGTGTTGTATTATTTGCCGTAATTATCTTGAGTCATGATTTCGTAATTTCGTCATAGCTGTTGTATCTAAAATATAATCTAATGCTGTAACGACATAGGGTAACATTTCACTAGTGTTATATAGTTTAAAGTAATTTTTAGAAACAAGATATCGCATAACAAAATCAAGCTGGTATTTCATGATTAATTTTCTTCTATTTTATTTTTAATTGATATTTGAAAAAGATGATTTAAACTTTAAGGTTAGAATTGATTTCACTAACAGATCAATATTTATTAATTAGCATATTATATGGTAGTTATTGATTGAACTTTATACATGCACTCATACTTTTATTTTTAGATAATTTAAATAAATATAGCAGTATGTCTTTAGATATAAAAGACCAAAAACAAACATGTAAAAAATAATAAAAAAATAATAAAAAAAATCAAATAAAATAAAAATTAAATAAAAATTTAAAAGAAATTAAAAACAATAAAAAATACAAATTTTAAATAAACCCAATCCAGGTTCGTCTGGGTCAAGTTTGGATTCATTTGAACACAATCTGGGTTCATTTCAACCCAATTCTAGTTCATTTGATCCCAAGTTGAGTTCATTTTAGATTTTAATTTGTTTTGTTATTCGGAGAAAATTTAAACTCAGTTACGTAACTTTTTTAGGAGTATATTAAGAAGGTTAATTTATTTTACTCCGGGAACCTTAATTCTAACATATGAGCACACGAATATGAAATTATAATTGATACTTGGTAATTTTTTTGTAACTTTGAATAAAATGCTTATAATCGAACCAACTTCTGATAAGATAAAAAATTTCACATAATTTATCTCAATGGAAGCTATTAGGTATTTACTGTTGTATCTTAAGCTATTGCCTATATTAATTTTATGAGTAGACATGATAATTTTAAAATTTGTCTAAATTTACGAAGTTGCAAGAGCGTTAGCGGTGCCCACTTATGCTTAATATTTTTGTAGATCTCGTTTTTCACTTTTGCAACGTTCCAAAAATTAATTAAATATAGATCTCGTTTTTCACTTCTGCAACGTTTTAAAAATTAGTTAAAATATAGATCTTTTCAAAAATTAATTAACTTCTATTAATTAACTTCTATTAAATGCAGCTTTATGACCATATGCAAAAATTATTTTCATTAAATTTGGAATAATGAAGATTCAATCAGTAGTTATACATTATTTCTACATAGCTTATTGTTAAAACGTTGATATATGTATTCAGAATTGTACTAATGGTTATTTTCTATAATAAATTCAAAAATTTAGTAAACTTGGCATCTCAAATGAAATTTTAATATGTACATCTTAACGCGACATACCAAGTAAACGTTTTAATTTGATCAACTCCATGTTCAAATCTTTTTCGTCGCATTCCATTCTGCTCTACGCAATATACATCTCAAATGAAATTTTAATACATATAACTTAACCTGACATACCAAGTAAACGTTTTAATTTGATCAACTCCATGTTCAAATTTTTTTCGTCGCATTCCATTCTGCTCCATGCAAAATCAATCCACCATACTGAAGTGTTACCTGTCAACTCATCTCTATTTATCATTATATTCTCCAATCGAATATCACCGTGCTTTACTCCTCTTTCATGAATCATTTGTAAACCTGAAATAGCCAACTTCTTTTCTTCTAATGTGACATCATTTTCTAATTCCGCAAACGATTTTCCGGCAAATGAAATAAAAATGAAAGCGAATGCTTCGTGAAGAACACCATATTTTAGAAGTTTTGAAATGAAAATTTCTTGAATATCCATGAGAGGACCGAGGTAAATTTTAATTTCATTTAACAGTTCAGTTACTAGATGCTCATTTTTATACAAGTCTACCATTTTAAGAACGCCTATTTCTTCATAAAACTTGACTTTAAAAATGGAACCGGACCGACCACCTCCCAATAAATCACCAAAAGAAATTTGATAACGTTTATAATTTTTCATATTTTTGAGAAGCTCATCATCACTGATAACTTTTTCTTTACCTTTCATTGACATACTACAGTACTACGAGTGATTACCCCCATGGTTCTTTTAAAAATACCTCCTTTCTTAGAACCCGATGTTTGGTCATCATCCTTTTTGCTATGGTTATTATTATCATTGTTATTTTCACCACTCAAACCAAGATTATCACTATTGTCTTCAGTATTAGGTGGTGAAGAATGTGTAAACGGATCTGTCGTAGATATATCTTCAAAATAACGTACACATTCAGAGAATGAGGCATAATGATCAGTGTGGCCCTGATTGATATAAATCGCAGGAGAAATGCAAATTGTGTCTGGATTTTCATGTTGACGGTAAAAAAACCATGTTCTAATGTACGTTGTAAGCAAACCATATCGTAAATCATTAACAGCCATGTATCCAAATACTTGTCTAACGATTCGAATGATTTTTTTATATTTTGTTTCGTTATCATTCATTGTCAATGCAGTATTGTATTCCTCAAACAATTCAGTTCCATGACCTATTAAAGTTTTCATTAACTGTTCAGGTTTAATCTCTACGATTGAAAGTATCTGGGAAGCTTTGGGATTTTTCAAAAGGTTCCTATCATCTGCACTACAACGTATAGCATCTGGTCGACCTTTAATTTCCTTAAACATATAAGGTTTGCACCAGCATTCCGGTTTTTGTAAAAGAATTAACCTTTTATTATTAATAGCATCCATCGTTTTTAAGAACATATCAACAGCAGAATCTTCGGCGGATAAAATGCCATTGAGATCATCAACGTTAGGCTTGCTAAATTTGCGATTGTTTGTATCGAGAGTCGTTGATGAGTTATGGGCATTCGAAAGAAAGTTTTTCCACTTTAAAACTGGTATATTGGGAATTTTTCTCGTTGCTGCTTGTGTCGTGGTCGTTGTTTTAATCTGAAGAAGTTCAGGAATGGGAATAACTACTCGGAAGAGTTCTTCTTCAGTAAGAAGATCTGCCAAAAGAAAGATATATAAGGTACAAAATTGACATTAAAAATAGAGAATATTGTCATATGAAGAGTCTATTAAATGTTGTGTTAATTTTTAAAATCATACCAGGCTTCAAAATTATTTTAGATTTTAAATACTTGAGCCTAAGATTATCATTTGGAAAGCTCTTTAAGACTGGGAATATCTCGGCTTGTTTATCTTTATTTGTGACAAAATAATCTGCCAAGTCAATTAATTCCTCGTCTGACAATCTATTTTCATTTTGGATACTTGAAAGGTGTGATAGCAATGTAAAAATATCTGTAAAAGCAGCGATTGACATGGTTTAGTACTACGTACGTACGTATGTAAAAGTAAGAATTGTCAGTAACATAAATACGTATAATATATGAGTGCATGAGAGTGAAAACCTGAAAGTGAATTATTATGGCGAATTTGACCCCTGAGGACAATCAGTGTTCTA